AGAACGTAGAATAGGAAAATAACGAAGCAGAAAAGGCTCAAGAATATTTCAAGATTGAAGAAGTTAGACAAGCCCCTAACAGACGATTCAATGCTAACCAGCTGCGAGGATATACTACAAGTGTAAGACGGACGACCGGGTGCGTGTCCAAAAGGGAAAGTTTGCAGCTCATCGGAATGTCGTCCGAAGAAACGCAAGGCTTACACAGGTTAGCCCTATATACTAGTATATAGCTTGGTCGCCGCCATGTCTTACAGCGATATCTATAAGTCATAGTTAACGTATGAAAATGCGATTCTAATGCGATTCAATGTCACCGTAATCAAAATCCGAAAGCAACAGATTGTTCTTAAAATTCAGTTGTGTTGTCTGATTAAATTATATAGGTATGCCGGGTTTTCATATTTATCTCTTCTATTTCCATGCCATTGTAAGAACCATTTGCATAGTGCATATTGCTTTAATTTTGTAATGCATCACTTATTATTATGATCACTTATTATTATGATCACTTATGATCTCGACAGTCTCGATTCTTGGACAAATGAAACTGAACCCTAAGAAATGTAAAGTAATGCACGTTTTCTTTACAAAAGTCACACCGATACCACCACCACTATCCATCGCCGGCGAACCACTGAACGAAGTAAAGGTTGTTAAGTTACTCGGCCTATTCGTGCAAGCGGACCTTGGCTGGGAAACGCATGCTGACCACGTAGTGAAGTCCGGTAACAGAAAACTGTTCCTGCTCCGACAGCTACGACGCCTCGGCCTCTCTCCGGACGATCTACTCACTTGTTATAAGACCTTGGTCAGACCAGCTTGTGAGTATGCTGCTCCGGCATGGCAACCGGGACTCACAAAGAAACAACGTGCAAGGATCGAGACCATCCAGAAAAGGGCTTGCCGGACAATATTGGGCCCCGCCTACACTTCCTACCCAGAGGCATGCATAGTACTCGACCTGCCGACCCTAGAGAACCGCCGCCGCCAGCTGTGCTACAACTTCGCTACACGACTGCTGCATTCAGAGACTTTTAGAGACTGGTTACCCCCATACCGCAGCGAGATCAGTGCCAGAACAACAAGATCGCCAAATATACTTGACTCTGTTAAAGCACGTACGAGCAGATACCAAAAAAGTCCTATCCCCTATATGACAACCCTCCTGAACGAGCAGGACACATAAGCCAACACTGTATTTTATTATATGACGCCCCTTGTTTATAAGTACTTAGTATAAATCCTATATGAATAATAGAAATATTTTTATAATTCGATTTTAATAATTCGATATAGTACATGAATGTCCATCTTTTAACCAACGCATTTTACTAGTTTTATTATACATTGTACACTTACATAAATTGTAGTTGTAATTCATAATTTTTAACCTTCAGTAATAATTGTTATAAGTCTATGATAATGTATGTATGTACTGTTACCATAATTCAGTCTTAGGACTGCAAGTGTGACATCTATGAGTGGAACTTCAAATAAACCATTCTTATAAAGTGTATGGAAAGGTCAAGCACACAACACTTCCAGACCCCTGCTGTATGTAGTGCTTCCATAACTGTGTGGTCCAAGGGCCATAAAAATGGTGATGGGCACCACCTCTATGTTCGGCTGTCTGTTACACAGTCTATCATACACCTGTTTGACACCTCTAAATGTTTACCGAAGGAAATATTGTTTTTCCTCAGTTTCTTCCTCTTCTTCTTCTCCAAACAGTGACCTCTGACCTGACCAATGACATGATTTCTTGATGTCTGTCACCACGGTGACTGGTGTTGGGTTACGTAATGTTGCAATTTCATGGTCTGCTCTGCTCCTGTCACCTAACTAGTAGTACATAGGGTATAGAATTTTCTTCTATAGAAGAAAATAATCTATACCCTAAGTATCTTCCAACCTTATGAAATTATTTACGGAAACTAGTAGTACATATGTATGTGAATGTGTTTGAGTAAGAATTAACAGAGCAGACCATGTCCGAAGGTAAACATTATGCATTTGCTTTGCAAATGTTACTTCTCTAGTATGAATATTAATGTTGTCACCCTTGTACAGTACAACAGAGAAGAGAAGATGGTTTCCATATTGACCTTGATGACTTCCTGATGGGGCTGCTTCAACTGGCAAATGAGATGGTAATGACTGGTGTTGTAATGTTTGCACCACAGACTGTGTTAATATGTATCTGTGTATGACGAAATGTTACTCAACTACACATTTATAATGTAATATAGGGTCACACCAATTTAATATGTTGGTTCTTGGATATTTTTAGAAAAGTATGAAGCTTTTGGGGAAAAAACATAAAAATTTTATTAATAAAAACAGATGTAGGCATCCCCAGCTGCTATGTTAGGAGCCATGAAGTCAACAAGCCATTGCATTGATAGATGGAAAAACTGTAAGAACTCCGAAGAGATTAACTTTAACTGTTGGGGCCAAAATATGAGCATTTTGGAGTTGATTCAGAGGCTGAAATGTTTTTTTTACAAATTTATAAATTGAAGGTGGCGAATTAAATTGTTGTGGTCTAATACATAAATCAGTGCTTTAAGTGTCTGTCGTATATATTATACAATCATGTATATACCTGTATTCATGTAACCTTGCCATATACTGTTGTTCCTAACATACCTATACCTCTGATGTTTGTTCCTCAGTCTAGATTAGCAGTGAACAGTGTGACAGCAGGAGACTACAGCAGACCCACCAAGATTGCCAACTTTGTGGCAGAACTGGATGCAGGTGTGTTCATAACTTAGGGCCACGCCAATTTAATTTGTTGTTTCTCGGGTTCGCCCTGTCTATTTTTTTCTGATTTGCAAAAAAAAAGAGAAGATTCTAGGTTCTGAATCAACTGCAAAATGTTCAATGAAAGACACATTTTGGCCCCAACGGTTGAAGAAAAGTCTTCCCAGCTGTTAAAGTTTTTCAATGTAACAATTGAACTTCATTTCATCAAAAGTTCAAAATCTCTTGTTTTAATTATAAACCAGCCTGGTATGTTGACTTCATGGCTCATATCGTAACATTTCCGGCCTTCATGGGGTGCCTATACTTCTTTTTTTCCCCGTCGCTTCATATTTTTTCTGGAAAAAATTGAGAAACAACAAATTAAATTGGACAGGGTTGAACCTGCGTATACAGAAGATGGAACTTGCCCATTAAATATTGGTACAAGTAGAGTCTTTTTATGTTTACCGAAGGAAAGCATATTGTTCTTCCTCAGTTTCTTCCTCTTCTTCTCCAAACAAATAAGGTCAATGACCTGAACCAAACGTCCCTCACCATGGTAACTGGTGTTGGGTTACATAATGTTGCAAGTGCCATGCAGAACTTCTGTTCAACAGGGGCTGCATGGTCACCTGTCCATATATATGAAATTGTGTTTGAGTACTAGTAAGAATATACAATTTAGTACAAAGCTTGTTAAGCTGTGCCATGTGAAGGTAAACATTATGCATTTGCTTTGCAAATGTTGCTTTTCCTCTTTCCTTGCTGTTTGATAAAGCATAGATGCCAGGTTGCACTTTTTTGTGTGTATTTTTTGGTGTGTTTGTGGACTTTCGAAAATTTGCCAAAAATGCATTGACCATGTTGTCTGCCAGCCCATACATATAGAATACACCATGTTGTATTTTATCTATGTCATACCCACCCAAGAACGCACCTTTCAAATCAAAATGAGCCTAAGTTTGGTGTCCCTATACTAAAAAATGCTACAACATCAATTCCAATGTCCGAATTCTGTATTCAAATTTTCGAAAGCGGCGCACATGGTTAGGGCAAAACACGTTTGAATCGTTCTATGGAAATCAGGAAAGCCTGGGCCGTACTGCAAAGTACAAATGTATGGCCCAGTCCGGAACCCGTTATCAAGCGTTATCGTGGCCCGGGTATGATATAAATGTTGTTACAAAGCATACAACATTTTTTTTGCTCCACACAGGCTTTCGTCTGCTGAATCTGAAGAATGACGCCCTCCGTAAGAGGTTTGATGGGCTGAAGTACGATGTGAAGAAGATTGAGGAGGTTGTTTACGACGTCACAATTCGCGGCCTGAACCCCCCACCAGCTCAGAAGCCTGAGGCCCAAACAGAGGAACAGTGATTGCTTCCTTATGTGGTTCATCATTCGATCAGATGTTCAAGTTAGCTCTGTTTGTACTTTCTGTATCTAAGGCCATGTTATATGGATGACATCAGCGTGCGCATGAAGTTTCGCCCGTTTCCAAAACAGTAAAGTTTTCAACCATACTGTAAATCGTACAAAACAGTTGCAAAATGAGCAAATATATACCTAAGTTGAAAAAAAAAACACTGCAAAATAATACCAATGTCGTAGAATGCCAAAATTAAAGGAAAAAGACGAAAATGTAAAGAATTGAATTTGAAGACTACATTATTTGCCAAACGATACTCTGTGTCATTTGTTCAACCTTCAAAACCGTGTATATTTCATAATGAAAGCAACTTTTTTTGGCCAAACTTTTTTTTTATTCACACCCTCACATCAGTTTTGGGGTTCCCAGAGGATGTCATCTATATCAAATCAAGATGGCCTAATGTCAAGAAAAGTATTTGGATTCATATTTCTTTGCGTTCCCATTAAAACTCTCTTAAAGATCTATCAGAACTCCAGTGAGGTATTTCAGTGTATGTGTCAATAGTTACAACCATGTCATACACCTTTATTGCCTAGAATATTGTTTTCTTTAACACATAATGGAGTACAGTACTGGCTCTCTTCTTGATAAGTCCGACATCTTTCACTTGGAAATAACTGCACACTATTTTTTGTATCTAGTGATTTCAGAGCATTAAAAATACAAGTTACAAAATTCTGCTATCAATGACTTACACTCACGTCCGATTGTCTCAAAAGAATCTATCATTATGCAATAATGGTCACACCATACATGTAGTCACCCTGCCTAGCTCTAGAAAATCAGACAAAAACCTCTTACACCTCTTACTTAGTTTCAAGCCAACAAGTAGTGTCAATCATGTAACCCTAAAATATTAAATAAAAATGAATGAACAACCCTAAAACCAGTCGAAAATGCAAATTCGAGCATGTCAGCAGAACATACTGCACCTGTGCAAAACCCAGACTTTTCACGTTTTTTGTGTTTTTTTAAACATTGCAAGAATTTTGCAAAATGTAGAAAATCTCTTTTTCGACGCCACATTCGAAAACTATAGACAAGATGTCCTTAAATACACAAATACTAAAAGAGATGCACCATACATTACAGGTTTCACACAGACACAGTATATTCTGTCAGCATGTGGCAAATGTCAAACATCTTTTGCGTTTAATTTTTTCACCATGACTGCCCAACATATAATAATTCTGTGCTAGTAAGAACAGGTCTATTTTATTATGAAGCAAGTTTAAACTGTAATATCCAACACAACAAATTGGTCTCACCCAAATTTTCCACTGTGCAACTCCAGTCTTTTTCAAGGAATGAGCAATCCACCGCTTCCGTGGAGACGGGGGGCGCCACAGACTTTCTGCAACCTATGATCCACTGCTCACGGAGTCACGTGTGTTATCTGTTTGACGTCACGGAAGCGGTGGATTGTTCATTCCTTGGCAAAGACTGGAGATGTACAGTCGAAAATTTGGGTGAGTCCAATTTCTTGTGTTGGAAGTTTAATACAGTTTAAACTTGCTTCATAATGATTTCTAACAACACAGATGAACTTTCAAGATAAGGCCACATGTACAGCAAGTAATGTTTATGGATGTGCATTTTTGCCTGATTTTGGAAAAAAAAAAACAAGAAATTTTGTTGCCTTCTGGGAGTAGTCAACATGCCGAAAATGGGCAAAGATGCCGGAACGTGGATGGCAGATAAATATGAAGAGAGGAGACAATAAAAGGCTTAATGTTTTGTTTCTTACTTTGATGCTGTGATATGTGATGTTGGCTGTGAATATGTGATGTTCCCACTGAACCAAAACCATTTGTACAATAATTGAGTAAAAATGTTAAGTTGTAGGAGCCTTGTTTTTTTCGGCCCGCCTTGTTTTTTTTTCGCCCGCTCGCATTAGATTTGGAGTCTGCAGAGGATGTCATCCATAAAATTTACGTACTGCTGTGGTCTATTCTATCTCTAGGCTGATGTAGTAATGTTGTCTGCAGGAGAAAAGCAGACGATGCAATAGGTGTTCTCATTGTTGATCCAGTGGGCTTCTAATGTGAAACCACTCCGCTTCGCTAGGTGGCGCAGCTGCTTCATGTTCCACTTGCAGCTGTAGTTCAGCCCTTCACTCAGGTAGAGCTTCTGGCCATCTTGGAAGTCAATGTCAAGCAAAGGTTTTTCTGGACCAGAGAGAAAATTAGCATAAATAGGAATGCAAACAGGACTGTTTAACATGTACAAAGTAAAAAGTGATGGTACAGCTTAAGAACAAGCTGCTAGGGGGAACAAACCCACATCACAGGCTATCTGTCACCAAAAAGTCAAGACCATAGCATGTTCAGGACAAAAGATACAAAAACCGGAAGTTATGCTGCAGTACCAAGGTCATCCACCAGGAGGCCCATATTTGACCTTGACCTTCGTCTTCCTAAGACCTACCAGCGTACCAAATATCATCACAATCCATAAAGGCGTTATGAAGTTATGCTGACTACAAATTAGTGGACACACAAACACACACTGTCAGACAGACAGACACATACATGTACACAGACACAACAAAAACAATACCTCCATTTTCATGGAGGTAACAAGAAAGTAAGTTTACGAAGGCCCATAGGTACACTTAGCATTTTTTATTCCACTTTGTATTTTCTATGGGTACTTTGTATTTTCTATGGGTACTTTGTATTTTCTATGGGTACTTTGTATTTTCTATGGGTACTTTGTATTTTCTATGGGTACTTTGTATTTTCTATGGGCCTGTTTAATGGTAGACCGAACCAAACAAAAAATAGTAACCCAATGAAGGGCGCACAAAACGATAAATCGTACAAGACGATAAAAATTCCGCTCTACCCGGCGAGATCACTGAGACCCCACCAGGTAAGCATACCGGAGTACCTACAGACCTTTTTTATGGTAGACCGAACCAAACAAAAAATAGTAACCCAATGAAGGGCGCACAAAACGATAAATCGTACAAGACGATAAAAATACCGCTCTACCCGGCGAGATCACAGAGACCCCACCAGGTAAGCATACCGGAGTACCTACAGACACGTCTGTGTGTACTCGCGTAAGTTTTTTGGTGGCTGGCGAAGCGACATTCATTTTGCTTTGATGTGGATGCTCCCATTTTTATTATGGGCGGTATATTTCTGTTTACCATTCCAGGCAACTAAATTTATTTTGAACCTATTAAAACATAATATACTTTACACTTTAAGAAAATTTTGTTTGTTTTGCATGCAATGTTCCACACGTTTATTAATTAGGAGTATCAAATAGTGATTATTACATCCTGGCATAGATTATGTTAATGTTGACACAGGACCATACTATTTTCGGGGGTGCTAGGACATATTGTTCAGACTTCCGTCAACATTTCCGTAGCGATATATGGTAAATCACTTCCTCGCTGAATGTAAATTACTCCTTTGTATTAAAAAAAGCCCGTAATCTAAAGCGAGGGTTCATTGCCAATGTTGGGAAAAAATTGCATTGCGGTTTGCTGCCCTCCTACCAACCGCGAACGTTCATCACATGCAGTTTACGCAGGAAATGTGGACAATATGCCGTTTCAGTAAATAACCTGACATCTAAAATTGTTCATTTATGAAGTGCAAAAGCGTGAAACATAGGCCGTAAGCCATGGAGGTCGTTGACCTTTGTTGGGACGCCCCCCTCCCCACAAAAGTGCCAATTCATGTCACTACAGCACACATGTAGCTTACCACACGATTAGACGGTCAACCTAGAGTGTAATTTGAGTTTCTGTGAATATTTCAACAATTTTAGATGTCAGGTTATTTACTGAAACGGCATATTGTCCACATTTCCTGCGTAAACTGCATGTGATGAACGTTCGCGGTTGGTAGGAGGGCAGCAAACCGCAATGCAATTTTTTCCCAACATTGGCAATGAACCCTCGCTTTAGATTACGGGCTTTTTTAATACAAAGGAGTAATTTACATTCAGCGAGGAAGTGATTTACCATATATCGCTACGGAAATGTTGACGGAAGTCTGAACAATATGTCCTAGCACCCCCGAAAATAGTATGGTCCTGTGTCTACATTAACATAATCTATGCCAGGATGTAATAATCACTATTTGATACTCCTAATTAATAAACGTGTGGAACATTGCATGCAAAACAAACAAAATTTTCTTAAAGTGTAAAGTATATTATGTTTTAATAGGTTCAAAATAAATTTAGTTGCCTGGAATGGTAAACAGAAATATACCGCCCATAATAAAAATGGGAGCATCCACATCAAAGCAAAATGAATGTCGCTTCGCCAGCCACCAAAAAAACTTCGCGAAGTACACACAGACCTGTCTGTAGGTACTCCGGTATGCTTACCTGGTGGGGTCTCAGTGATCTCGCCGGGTAGAGCGGTATTTTTATCGTCTTGTACGACATATCGTTTTGTGCGCCCTTCATTGGGTTACTATTTTTGTTTGGT